CTAGAACAAAAAATAATCTTATTGAATAATATAGAAATTTAAAAAAGTAATTAAAAAATCGAAAAAGAAAAATAGAAAGTAAAGAGATTTTATTTCTTGAATTTTATTTCTAATTAAAAAGTCGAACATTTCGAATTTTTCTTAATTTAAAACAATCGATATTTCGAAACAATCAACATTTTGATTGCCTATTATCAATTCGAAGAATATATAATATATTGTATATTATATATTCATATAATATATAAAATAATCAATTGTTCATAATTTTTGTGATATATGTATTATTGACAAATATATTGCGAACATTTTGCATAGATGATGTAGCAATTCTCGGATTGCAATCTTGTTAAATATGTAAAGAGTCAGAGAAAAACAGAGAAAAAGAAACGAATGAAGATAGAAATTCCGTAGTTGCTAAAGAAACCTTGAACGAGAACTTACAACAGGAGAATTGCCATCATATATAATGAGCACATTAATGTATAGTAACCTTGATATCGGTTGTAGAAGGATTTCGACCAATCGTGATGATGCTTTGATTGATTGTTATTAGATCGAAAATGCAAATTGATATATGTCACATTATTTCAATTTGATTTACATTATCTGAGATTTTTAAAAAATTGTTCGAAAAGTGTAAAACATTTTAAAAATGATATTTTAAAAATTTAAAATTATAAATAGATGAAAAGGCATATTAAGAAATAATTTAAAAATTTTATTTATATATGTAAAAAATTTGATAAGAGTTTAATAAGAAAATATAATAATTAAAAATAATTTTCTACAATAAATCGTAATCGAAGTATCATATTTTTTTTATGAACATAACCGCAATTCATTTATGAATAATTAATTATTTCATTTGATCAATCTTTATTGTTAACATTACATTAAGTAAAATCCGTGTCGTTACAGAGATATAAAAAAGATGTAAAATTATTTCAGAGAAATTAAGAATGTTTTTTCGAATGTTGATAATATAATCATAAAAAATATTATTTACCATATTATATCAATTAATAATAATTATCAATAAGTTTCACATAATGACGTCGAATCTATATATTTTGTTAATAATTATTAGAATTTTTCTTAATATGTAGAATTATTATTAATATTATAATAATTTTTATTAATATAATACAACGAAATCGATAATATTGTTTTATCCTGTATGTTGTCGACAACAGACTTATTGATTTTATTGGAAATATATAAATATAGATAACTTTATGATAATAATTTAATAAATTAATTTTTATAATATGAAATAATCATAATAATTATCATAATGAAATAATGAAATAAATTCTTGTATTGATGTATAATTTTAATATATAATTTTATATCTAATTAATTATATATAAATGTTATATGAATAATGTAATACACAATAATAGTATAATTATATATAAAGATATATATATATTTTTCTGATTAAATCATTTCTATTATTTTATAAAAACTCAAATTAAATTTTTAAACTTGCACGTATATATACAATAATATTTACAGATCTATATAATAATGTATCACATTAATCACATTTTTATTAAAAGTGAACAAATGAAACATATAACATTAATTTTTTTAATTACTATCTATTGATATATTATCTTTTATTTAATATCTCTTATTTTGTCCAATATAAAATATAAAGAATTTTTTTAATCAAAATAATCAAAATAAAAAAAGAGATATAAAATAAGAAAATTTTTAAATTTCAATAAAAAATTAAACAACAAGAAAATTATAAACTTACTTTTCTACAGCTGTGTTGTAGCATTGACCAATGTTCGTCATGGTTCTTCATCTATGAACGAATTAGCAACTATCATTCTTATTCTCCTATACATTATATAATTAGTAACACCAAATATCAATTTGTTTAATGATGTAACAATAAATCCAGTCCATGAAACATTTTTTTTTTCGAAACACGCATGTTTCGATCTTTTGATTAGTTTTCTCCATAAAAATAGCGAAAACACAAAACATACATATAAGTTCGAGCTCACCTCACCAGAAAATTAATTTGAACAATTTTAAGATATTCATTGATTCTTCTTCCTTCATCATTTACTATATATATTTATATCACTTGTATTTCCGTTATGTATCGTTGCATGATCGATAACTACGTTAAACTGAGAAACCGCAGCACCGAGCAAACACTACACCAGACAAATCATTATTGAAAATCTTATATTTTATTGTTTATTTATAGAAATTGAATTGACATCATCAAAATGATGATAAAATCTCTTAACTTTTTTCAAATTATCTCTTAATCTTTTACTTGATCATAACAATTTTTACAATATATTTTTTTCTATTTTCAATAATACAATAAGAAATCCTCGATCACATTTCCAATAAATGTCTTCCTAAATAAAGTTCAAGTTAAATGAAAATCCACGTGTATTTAAAATTTCACAAACACATGGTTAACTCTTTGATGAAACTTCGAAACATGTTGAAAAATATATATAGTTGATAATGTGTTCGAATGATGCAAAGAAGTTGCAGTATTATTCATCCAGTATTCGTGGAAAGTACAACTCTGAACACGACTAACCCTTCGGGTGAATTCGGTATCACTCGCTATCATTCGTTCTCCCTTGATTCTTGCTTTAATCTTGATATGGTCGATAACAGGGAGAGTGCGTACTGCATCCTTCTATTCCTTGATTTCCTGTGAATCTCGAGCGACACAAATCGCGTAAACGATTTTTCCTGTTATACAAGAATTCAATTGCGTTTCATGGAATAAACGAGAAACGTGTGATATGGGAAGGTTGGTATGGGAAGGTGCACGGTAACTTATAGTCTCTTCCCTTGGATAGGTGGCATCACTTTCGTATCAATATATAAAAGATTTTTTATAAAAGTTTAAAGAGAATGAAGATCCAAATGACAAACTGAAGATGTTTATATAAATATATTTTTATAAAAAATAGATAAAGTACGATTGAATAAAATTTTGATTTATTATTATGGAATACCAAAACATTGTTGCACTGTTTGTAATAGAAGAAAAAATATTTCAAGTATATATTTACATATACTTCAAATGTAAAGAATTTATTTTATAAAATATCAAATTGTTTATTAAAATTTTAATAAATTATAATAAACTATAATATCCTATAAAATCCTGAATATTCGCCTATCGGATTCCTTTCAATTTATAATAATTTATACCACTTTGTTTCCATTTGAACGATTCGATATTGCGAAGAATTTGACCGGAATGTGTATTTTGTGAATATTGATCTTCGATAATTTAAATAACTATGTAGAAATATAACACGAATAAATTATGATTTAGCCGAATAATATTTCAAAGATATTGTATTCGGAATATTTTGGAAAATTTATAACTTATGTCAGCTATAATTATATATATTTATTTACATATATGTGTCATATGTAAAAGTTTAAATAATAATAGTAAACTAGTAAAAAATAATAAAATTAATGTTAAATTAACAAAAGCTTTAATATAAATTCACTGGAAAAGAAATTTTAAATTTTTTATTAATAGTATATTCAATATGTTCGCAACAGATGTACATAAATATGTACATATATTTCATTCAAAATTTTGTTGCTTATTAATTTCTCACTTGCATATTTATTCATTTGAAACTTATCGGATTGTTTTTATAAATAATTAGGAAACTTGATAATTATAATGTACATAAAGAGATTCTTGTGGCTTTATCTTTCTTGAATCATGGAGTCACATTCTATGTGTACTATTGAAATTGTCATATTACAATAACATCTTTCAAGGAAAATCTTTGAACTTTGTTTATTCCATATTATAGTATTAACTGGCATGAGAATCAATCTGTTAAAGTGTGTCAATGTTAAAACGATAATGCAGCATGTAAAAGCCATACATATCGTTTTAATAATCGTACAGGTTAATCACCTCGGAATCAGGCTTTTGTTTCTCATTAGAAGGATATGTAATTGTTATTGTTCAAGGACTGTAATCGATAATATCACTTTATATCATTCGTAGACAATTGGAATGGATATCTTAAATTGTTATCATTGTCATTTCTTCATAAAATTGTATATTTAAAAATAGATATATGTATAATTTACATAATATATTACAAATCAAAAATTTGAGATTTTTTTTCTAATTACTTTCAATCTGATATATTAAATATTCTCTGTCATACATTATTAATGTATGACAATTTATATTTTTGCATTTTTTCATTCACTAATTTATATATGAATAGATTTTTTATTAATGTAAGAAAACATTGAATTGAATGATTCTAATAGCGAATAATTGAAATGATTCAATATCAGATAATTTTTTTATAAATTACAAAAACATGACATTACTCTTAGAATCGCAAAAAAAAAAAAAAATAAGCTTCAGAAAAGTTTTTATCATCTTACTTATCATATACTTATCATTCTAATATATATATTCTTGCTATTGTAAGAATAATAATTTTTGATATTCAAAATTAATGAATTATATTTCAAAATTTTTCACGTTTTATTAAATAAAAAAACTCTTATTTTTAAGAAACAAAATTACTTATCAAATTTTTAGTAATATCTAAATCTTCTATTTATTAAGAGAATAATATATATTTTAGAGATCAAAATATAAAAAAAATATATCGTATTTTATAATGATTTAAATAATAACAATAAATAAAAATTTTCTGAAATTTGAATGAAAAATTGATTTATTATTTATAATTTTTATAATCTCTAAAAACCTTTGACTTTAAAAAAGAAAATATAAGCGATTAATAGAAAGGACCTTGGAAATCGAAGATCAAGAGTATTATGTATCTCCCACCAGGTAACGAATACTCTCAAATACTTGTTAATGCACAGGTTCTGTTGCCCCTTCCTCGATAGAGTCTGCGGAAGGTTCGATCCTTGGACACTTTCTTATAAATGAAGGTTGACCATTAGCTTGTTTCTCATTTAACGCTCCATCCCTCATAGTCAGAGGGATCGATCTTCATGTGTACGTTCGGCCACGTACAAATTTTTTCGATCTTTTTGTTTTATTTTAATGTGCACAATTGATAGTGATTTACTAATTATTTTATTTTTTCACATTGAACGATTAAGATAAATAGGTAAGTAATTGACGATAATAAATTATTAATTATAATAACTGAGATAAAATCAAACATAAACAATATGAATCATTAACATGGTCTAAGATTTTAGAAATTTAAAAAATATTTAGAATTTTGTTATTTGAAAAAATTTTTTCGTGAAGATAGTAAAATAAAAAAATTCTATGAATAGATAGTAAATGCAATTGAAAAAAATATTCCAATAATATATAGAGTGAAAAAAAAGTTTGGAATTTTAAAGATTTATAATATTTATCGAGAGAAGTAAAAAAAGGAAAATCAATATAAATCTTATAATTATAATATTATAATTGATATAAAATTAATTTTTATTATTTATGAATATTCAATATCGTAAATAAGTTATATAATATAACATAAACTTTTATTTTAATAAACATTCGTTATATTTTACTTTTATTCTAAAATAAAACTTGGGTATAATTATAAATCATTAATCGATTTATATCAATTAGTTTTTCTATATATTATACATTACATATTTTTTTTATTCTTTCTAGTTTTTAAACTAATTTTTTTGATTATATTAAATATATTGCAAAAGTATTATACTTATTTGCAATATTATAAATAATAAAAATTTAAATTATTTTGATTATAAGTTATATCCTTTATAAAAATATCAAAAATATTAATTTAATGGATTTTAATAAATGCTTCAATAAAAAAAGTAAAATAATAAAAAAAAGTTAATGCAATTTCAATTAAATATTATAAAATAATCTTTTTATAATTATTAATAAGTATAAAAATTCAATTACATGAATGAAAAATTATCTATTATAACAATTGATATTTAAGAACAACAAACGCCTTCCTACACATAACATAACATGTGCCATATAATTACGAACGTTTTGCATTCCGGAACTCATTCCAAACCGTACGACTCACATACGGATTTCTTACAAAAAGCTTCGCGTTTCATGTTTCAGACTAACTATGAGTTGAATGATTTACGAGATATATATAAGATGCATTATGCATGTATGCACGTGTGAAATTTTATTTTGTTATTATGCATTGCTTCATTACTTGATATAATATAATATATATAATAATATAATAATATAATAATATAATATATAATATATAAATATATAAACATTACAATATGATTCATTAAATTGAGACACAATTAATTGTACACATAAAGTAGTACATATAAATTCAAATCAATTTTCTTGAAAATAAAATTTTCAATTTTTATTTATATTCTAAAAATTAATGGTTCAGCAAAATTATACATATATTTTCATTTCAAACGATGTTTAAAAGGTAATAATACAACAAAATAAATACAAATATCAACAAATAATACATATGTTGTTCTTTATTTTTTTTTAATACTGTATTAAATAATCTGTTGTATATTCAATTGACATAATTATTTACCCATCTGAATCAATTATAAAACATTATGTATGTATTAAGACTGTACCAGTGTGTGGGCGCAGTGAACGTCTAATAGATCGAACCGCAATTTCAACATTGTTTTGCAGTGTTTGCGAAATATCTGTTACAAAAAAAATATAAATTAGACATGGTATATATAGGTCACATGACAAATGTGTATCATGTAATCCTAGACGTAAGTTATCTGTAACATGACAATTTTTATTTTATTATATATATCATCTTTGATAGGACAATTGTATTTTCATCATATAGGATGAAAATATGTTTTCAGAATAATAAAATCAAATATTGTGGAATTTCTATATGTACAAAACTTTACTTTTTCATTTTATAATAATGTAAATATTTCAGCTCTCACGTAAAGCAATAACTTGAAGACAAGTCATGCGTGAAGTGTTTATGCCCGATAAAGATTATATACAATAATGTACAGTTAATTTTTGCAGTTTTGGCATTCTTAACCGATGCGGAATTATCAATTTCTAAAACTGTTTCTACAAAGTCAATATTTCACGATTTCTTTTTTTTCTAATTCATTTTCATTTAATATTCAATTCAATTGGTAAATATTCTGATTCTCAAAATATTTATCTATATATAGTTGATGTTTCGCAAATCCCATCTTATGCATTATTGTATATATAAATAACAAATCTACCTTAAAAATACAAAAATCATACAATCGTCAATTCATTTGCTATAATTCAAATAATAAACATTTACAAATATCTATGGATCAGAATTGAATTATAAATAAGATTGATCATTATTCATTATCATTATAAATACTGGTGATTTTATAATAGTAGAAGAATTTATAAGGTGACTTAATAGAGAGGGTCTGGTGTATTCATATCCAATCACCAATCAGCATTCTTGACTACTGAGTATACGCCCATAAGGCTCGTTCAACCTTCGATTTATCATCAACCAGTAATTACAGAAAACTATATTACACTGTCATCGTGTCACCGTTGCTCTTGTTTCTTATCTCTATCAAATTCCATCTTTATAATGTTAATCTAAGTTCGTAGTTTTACAGAAAAAAGAAAAAAAGGATCCCACACATCCGGTTGTTCGAATTGCAAATTGATTCTGTTTCTATCGATTATGCAATTCCTCGATGCTTTACGATTATAATAACGACATTGATTATTTGTATGACGATGAATATGTGAAACGAGATAAATCGATATATATATAGTAGATCGATGTATTCTTGATGACAATGTGTAAACACTATCTAATTCAATATATTTTTGATTATCCAAATGAAATATTATAAATGAAAGAAATATTATAAATAATTTAGAGGTTAACTGGTTTGTATGTCATGTTTTAATCAAAAATTATTCTGAACAGAATTAAATACTTATAAAAAAAAATTAATTATCAGTTAAATTAACAAATTCAAATACAATTTGATACATTTCATATGTAATTCTAAAAAAAAAAAAAATTCCCTTCAAATCAACGATAATTAATTAGTTTACGTTGACTTTACAATCAATTTGTTCTTATTTCCATTAAAGGATTATCTATGATTGTTTAAAAATCCAATGTACCATGATCTCATCTTCAACAAGTTAATAACATATGATTATAAAATGCATCAATGTATATCAGTTGGCAGAATGTTTAATTGGCGTAAAGTCATTATGAATGATATGTTTTAACAAATCATTAAAACTATAATCATTGTAACCATATGCGAATAATTGGAAGATAAAATATACACATGCGTATAAATGCAATTTTTTGATAAAAAAATATGATTATAAAAACATCTTCGTTATGAAAATATAAATTCAAAAAATTCTGTTCTTCATTATTTTTTTATTTTAGAATTAAATTCCGATAATGAATGAAGATTTTAAAAAAGCTTATGTTCTATTAAAACGTGTTATATTAAAAAATTTCGTAATAAAAATTTAATACACTCATTAATAGAACAATTAATAGAACAATTAATAGAACAATTAATAAAAAGTTTAATGTATATACAATTGAAAAAAAATTTTCAAATTTTTTATCCTGTAATATGTAATATGTTAATTTGAAATGAAAAGAAAAAACCATCTTTAGAAAAGGAAATAGATATTCACCAAATTCTTTTATCAATATAGTATTAAGGCACGATTATCACGAGTGACGGAATTAACATTATTAAAAGGATAATATTCGTTACGTCTCAATGATTTTGGCTCAAGGTGACCAAGTTGCATGATACACATGCTAGAAGTCTATGGATAAGTGAATTGACGTTTGTATCAAACATTAACTATTCACTCGTTCAATAATCAATACTTTAGCTTATTCTTTCCCTTTTAAAAAATAAAAAACTTGAATGATCTGGCATCAGCGGTATTATAAATATAAATTGCATCAAACATTGAACTTGATAAATAAGAAACGTCAAATTATTTTTAATAGCTTTAGTCTTTCTGTTTTCATTACTGTTGTCCATGAACTGTACATATAAAGTAATATTATATGTACATGTGTTTAAATTTTATTTTTATTTTATATATAATTATATAGCAATACAAAACAGACAAGCCTTGAATAAATAATTCTCATTAATGTATTTAGAATGCAATTGATTATATATGTATATATATAATTTTTAATTGTAATACATGAATGATAAATTATTTTTTTTAATTTTAGACTTTTTATCGATTAGTATGATATAACTTTTAATAATTTTTTTATTTTTTTTTTACCGTAACATTATGGAAATGTTAACGTTATCTTATAATCGTAATTAAACAATTTAAGAAACAATTCAATAATATATATTTTTTTTTAATTATCTTCGATTTTTCCAATTTTTATTATTCTGAATTCTATCTCAATTTTATTTAATTCTATACATTGATTAGTAAAAATAGATAAAATTTATTATTAATATGTTTTATATATATAATAACTTATCTAATAATTATCTAGTTTCGAATTAATTCGAATTAAACCATGATATAAATTATAGATTTATATCATTATCATAAATTCTTTACTTATTTTATCTAATTGTAATCTTTATTAATAATAAATTTATTTTATTTACTTGTTCATAAATTATTTAACAGTGAAAAAATATTCAAAGCAATTTATTTTTCTTGTTGCGAAAATTTTAATTATCATTTATGATAATTCGATAAACCTCGCAATAATGAACATATGAATATGCAAAAAAAATAATGATCCTATTAATACTTAGGATAGAAACTAGAGATATCCATTGACAATCATACATTTACAATCAAATGGAAATTTTTAAAAAACAATGAGAGATAATTTTTACATACTTGTATATATTGATGCATTATACAATTTACATTTAATGGCAAGCTATATATCTGTTTTACGCACGTAAAAATATTAAAATACATAAATAAATACATAAAAAACATATTGAAATACACTATGACTCGAATTATATAATTATATTTAATAAATATAAATTTATTAAAAAATAAAAAATATACGTGAAATGTTTTCCATAAGAAATAGATAAAAAAAATATTATTAATAGCATCATGATGCAATGATGATTCCATCTTTATTTTTATCCTAACTTTGTTATCCATTATTAATTATAATAAAAAAATTTAATAAATTTAATTTTTCTTTCTTTCTTTTTTTTTCAGAACACAATGTTGAGCACAGTAGCACAGAAATTGCAATTCTTGTACAAGCCGTACGCATTAGCCATAGTTTCAGTTGGATATGTACTTGGAGAGCTAGGTCATTACTTAATTGGTAAGTAATGCACATTCAGTTCCGCTTGTTATATTTCCTTTTCCTTAAAAAAAAAAAAAAAAAAAAAAAAAAAAACTAAATTATCCTCATAAAATCGTCAATTCGAGATATAATTACGCGCAACATAATTCCAAGATGGGTATCTCGGTATTTTTTTTTTCCTTTTTCCTCCTTTTTCCTCTTCTCTCTATTCTTTTGGATTCTTATATTCTTATACACAATGTAAATTCTTACATGTAACACGTGTTTATCAACATACGGACATAATTGGATAATTAGCGATAAATTACAGAGAATATTCATTATCAGTGTAATTTTCTTATGCTATCGTTTTTAAGGTGTCACAAGCAAGGCGACAGCGGAGGATCTCCACTATGGTGATATTTCTTGTCAATTAAATTCGACCACGTTAGCGATTATTGATCTACCGATTCAGTGTGAGGTGGCCAAAAATGAAAGTTTGTAAGTCTCTTCATACATTTTTAAAAATTTATTATGATATATCGTGAAATAATTCGTCTTTTATTAAAATATTATATTTATTTATCCAAAAAAATAGTCTAATAATACCTTGTACATTATTATATAAATAATAGAAAAATAGAATAGAAACTTATACATCTATTTAACATTTCTACTACTAATATGCATGTTATCGATTACATTTATGAACTCGTGTATCCGTTTTAACTTTGATCGAATTAGAACCAACTTAGATAACATTAGAATGTATCTTATTTTACAGTTGTGTGTCCCTGGAACTGAATGGGACCAGCTATTGCGAATGGAACTATAATGGCCTTGGTCTCGACTATCAAATACTAGCTGGTCCGAGTTTCATCGCCGTTTTCACGATTATAGGTGTTGCTTTGGGTATCGCGGCCGATAAATATAACAGGTACACATATATTATTTATAAAAATTAAATTATCATTGAGATATGAAAATCTTTAAATCCTGGTATTTCTCTTAATTCAATCTCGACCGAGTTTTTTTTATCGTTAAAAATTTTATTATTTCATTTAAAAAAAAATTATAAATATTTTTGTTTGAAGTTACGTGATTTTGTTTTAGTAATGCTTATCGTATTTTGCATATCATAAACGTATCGAATAAATGTAGTAAACATGTTAATAGTTTTTTTTTTTTTTTTTTTTTTTTTTTT